TCTAAATTTGCTCGTTCATTTCAAACCCAGGCTACATAAGAAATTGGCATGGCATTAAACAAACCATCCTTTCTCTTCCATGACAATTTTAGTGTCACGTGTATTTGTAAAAATCCAATCCTTCATTCTCGTATGAAGCATCTTGCACTCGATTATTTCTTTGTTTATGACTTAGTTGTTGCGAGCTCACTGTCGGTTCAACTCATTCCATCCAAAGCTCAAATTGCGAACACCTCATCAAATCGCTTGGATGGAATCTCTTCCTTTATTTTCAGTCTAAGATTGGTGTTTCCGATGATCCTCTATCTTGTGAAGGCATATCAAAGATAAAGATTAGATTATCCAATCAAATCTAATCTCATTAAATCCAATTATACCTTATATAAACCTTACTTCGTGCAAAGCTTTGACTTTCCTTATCTTTGTATAATTAGATTTCCTTTTAATCTCATATGTACTTATCACTTGTAAATGTTACAATTATCAAACATACAAATTTCTTTACGGTGAAATAAATTCATGAAAATAAATTAACTACGTACTTTGTATCATCCATAAAAATTATTGACTATACTGTGCTCTACTAGATGTACTATATACTTATCTAAGTGTGAATCCAATGAGGAAAACTTTCAATTTTCATTTTCATAAGATCTGCGGCTTTTCAGAGCTGCGATGAAAACGTCAGAATCTATTATTAGCATCAAATGGTCGTCTATAATGAACCTATTCACGCATGATTATTTATGGAACAACTTATATATAATGGATAAATCAGTCGTTAAATTAAATATTAAATATATAAATAAATTTCTAATTAAATAAATAATGTATTATATAAATTTAAGTTTAATATAATATATATAAAATTTTGAATTTGATTGAAACTTCATAAAATCTAAATAATGATACAAATTTATACTTGCTACTAAACCAAATCCCTGTTAGTAGTAACAAATTTATTAACAATTTAGTTTAATCAAATCACATAAAAATGGTGAAATAAGGAGTCAATCTCATGAAAAGTAGACAATTGCGAAGCCCAAGAAAGAATACATTGATGAGTACAGCTGGAGAGGGGGATCCACGACCACATTATGTGGGGGACGTACAAAAATCAGGCATTCCTGATATTTTTCGTAGGAAGATGACTGCTTAATTGATTTATGTGGTTGTAAATGAGATGAGATAGATAGTGAGTTATTCGATATTAATTCGATTAAAATTTGATAAATATTCAACTCAAATGGACTCGACTCAAGCTTCAGCTTAAGCTCGAATCAAGTTCTTAAGAAGCCGAAACGAGCTACTTGATACTCAACTCGAAAATCTCACAAACAACTCGAAAAATATAATATATTAAGATTTTTTTCTTTCTAAAAATAAAATTATTAATAATATTAATATTTATGTGATGATTTTTTTAAATGCATTATAAGATTTTCATGTATATAAGGTTTAAGCTCGAGTTTAAGTTTAGGGTTTTAATCGAATTAAGTTTAAGATTTTTTTTTCATTTTAAGCTTTTACGAGCTTCAAATTTATGGTTTCGATTTTAAGTCGAGTTTGAAAAATTTAGGCTCGCAAATTTTCAAACTAAGTCAGGCTATATTTTAAAGTTTTTTAAGTCGAGTTGAGCTCAACAATACTCGAATTGTTTACGACTCTATTCCACGTGTCGCGGCATCATTATATAAACCAAAAAATGGGCCGCTTTCCCCTTCAAACCCCCAAGATATTGTTTTTTAAAGGGTTGATTAGTGGAACAAAAGATATTGAAGCATGAAAAAGAGTAGAATGCTAGAGTATAAAGAAGATAACATTTTTGGATGCCTTTTATTTATTTTCTTAAAAAATGTTTTTTTATTTTATTTTTCAAAAATTATAAAAAAACCATATGATAAATAATGAACACAAAAATATTCAATGCGTCACTGCATGTAAACATTTTGAAGAAAATCCTTTCATTATTTTGTTTATGTGATGATTTCATTATTTTAAAGATGATTTATTGAAATAATTAATTTAGATTTAATTTATAGATCATAATCTAATTATCTAATACATTAACCTTAAATTTTAATCAGCTCTTCATTAATTAAATATTTGGATATTTAAGATATGTGTCGTATATTACTAGAGTCCAATTAATTTTATTTGTGTTATATTAATATATTATTATAAATTAATCATTTTATAGTAGTAAGTAACTTAATTTATATATGTAATATCGATATAAATTCAACCATAGTTACTAGAATTAGTTATATTTATACTTGTCATTTTTCGAATTTGACTTTTCTAAATGCATGGTATATATAACGTTACTTGTCTGTCTCCTCCAAAAACCTAAGGAGATATCTCAGTGAAAAGTTTTTCAATTCAGTGTCGGATTTAGAAATTTAACAATAGAGTTCAAAATTTTAATTTTCTTTTTTTAAAAGGATTAGATATGTAAAAAAATTTAATTTTTTTGCTTTTTTCGACACATTATGCTAAATTTAATCACTTTTTCAAAATAATGGGATGTACTAGAGCGTATAGGCTTAGCGCATCCGCCAATTCCATGGCAAGCCTCCTACAATTTTGTTACCAATTATCGACTACCTATTACTCTGTCTGATTACATCTTTACACAACACACTATAATTTTATCACTAACCCTAAACGATAAGACAATTATCCAATGAATCCCACTCCCAGTTCACCACCTATATAAAGGCCTTGCTCACCAATTGAAGAAGGGGAAACTTGTGCATACTCTTCTCCAACATCCTCAGAGCTCCAAAGCATAGCAAAAATCATCACCGACTCGATGTGAATTGGCTCTTAGCTTAAACTTTGAAACAGCAGCAAAATCTTTACATTTGTTGCTAATGCATTTGGTTTAGAAAGTAGATGAGATAAAGAGAAAAAGAAAAGGATGAAGAAAAAGAGGAGATATTGTATAGCTGTTAGTCATATTTGGTATGGAAAGGCGGGGAATATTGCTTAATACGCATATCTAGTCATCCCATCAGGATCTTTGACAGGTCCCATTGCGAATGTTTGAAGCAGCCATACAATGAAGACACCGGTTCCAGCTGGAGAGTATCTGAATTATTGATTACCTTTGGCTTTGGGGTAAATTCGGAATCTCAAAACTCCAAATCAAATAGGACCGACTCTCACTTACAGCCTCCAACTTTGCTTTTAAAATCAGTACATTTGTGCCTATAATTGGATGGTCAATAATATGTGGGGATCACTCTCGTCATCCTCTCTGTTCTTTTACTCTAAGACGCTCTTATCAACATTGATAAAGCACTCTCTGTTGTTCCGTGGCAAAAGTAACTCTTACTTTATAGGATTAAAGCTTAAATCTTTGATTAATTGATGTGGGGTGGTTTTTATTTTTACGATGGGTCATTTTCATGAGTTTGGTATAACTGTCATCCATTACCGCAATCTGTCTTATCTTCCAGAGCCCCGCCTCCGTTCTCTTGTCTTCTTCATCCACACCCTTTATTAATGCTACAAGGGAGAAGAGGGTCAAATATCAATGATTGATTGGCATTAACTGTTTTGATCCCACTCGCGGCAATTGTTAACGTCGGCAATGTGTTTTTTTCCCATTAATAAAAAAGTAGAAACTGCTTTATTTAATATCGATTTCCAGACATTGATTAGTCGAATGTTTTTTCTTACGAAAATGTTGCCAATGTTTTCACATCAATGATTCTAACAACTATATTGAAAGTGACTTGTATGAATATCCTCTCTTGTTTTTTGATATTATTATACTCAAAACGGTGCGTGAGGGTTTGTTTTGGCTTTCTTTTATTTGTACCAAGAAACTCTTTTTTGCAGGCACGCATCCGAAAGGCTATGATGAGGTAATGCTTTCCAAAGATATATCGTGACATGTATAATACTTGTTTTCTCAGTAGAACGAGCATTTTGCTCTAATGTGAGTTGAACTCTTCTAAATGACATAATGAAGAGATAAGATGAGATAAACTTTTTGGAGAATATATGATGATGTTTCGTCTGCTGAACACTCGTTCATTGGGAATATACTGCCCAAAAGCAAAAGTTCCACCATCATCCCTCAAGACAAAGAGACTTAAATTCGTTGAACATTTCGAGTTAAATTTATAGTAATACAGTGTTCAAATAATGATTTTTTTAGAATTATTAAAATAAAACTTTATTTTATTAAACTAAAGTGATTACAAAGTAATAAATGTTCTAAAAAATAAAATCTTTTAAAGTAAAGCAGAGAAACCATAATAAATTAGTAATCAATAGTAAACGATTAGCATATGAGAATAAATTATTCATAACGCGTTATGATTTGTATAATACCAAAGTGTAATTTTATGAATATGTTGTTTCTTAATGTGTAACTTGTAGGTGTTGGAAATTTTAAGGGTATGGTATGGAATGGCGGCATCAAAGGTTTCATTTCAGCAGGCAGCCATATGACGGCACCAAAGTATCTTCACTAAAAATGTAGGCCGTAACAAAATGTAGCGGCATTGTTAGAAAAAAAATTGGGCAATAGGCATGGGCCTATAAAGTTTTTAACCTACCAAAATGGTGGTGGAATTTTAGAAAGCAAGCAAAGGCTATATGCATCTTCAATGGGAAAGTCTTAGGTGGGGTAATCTTAATATACAACTAAAGAAAGACATTACCGAAAATATTATTATATTTTTAACATTTCCGGTAAAAAATTACCTAAAATATTATTATATCCAACAGAAATGTTAATATCTGACACTTTACTATAAATATTAAAAACATTAATGTTTTAGGTAAAAAAATTAATGTTTTAGGTAATTTTTTACCGAAAATGTTTAAAAAAATTTAACATTTCGATAACGTCTTACCTTAGCCTTATATTAAGGTTGTACCCATCTTCAATGCTTTCCGACTAAGTTGTTGAAGTGAAAATATCATGCTATTATTAGATTATTGTGTGCAACACCACAAATGCATGGTTGACAGACAACAGCTATCAATTGCAAATCTGTAAAATATCGACATAACTAGTGTAAAAAACGAGGCAAAAGCTGAAATTGGTTGAATGCCATATCGATTAATCTTTGTGAAAATTGGACGAGGGCAAACGAATACCTATCAAGGTTAAGGCGAACCTATAATGGGCGGGCAGTACTGAAAACAAACACGGCAACGTGAGAGTGTCTTTATAAATAATAATAATAATAATTCCAGATGCTGCCCTTAAATGCTCTACACAGCACTTCAAACCGGCTTCCGGAAACAAACGTTCATGTCCTTCCTACATAAGAGTTCTCAAGGACCGGAACCCCAGGTCCATATATCAATCGGCAACGTTCACTAAATGAGCTGATCATTCGGGACACTACTTCCTTAAAGAACATGGATGCGACCTGTCAGACGCAACAAAAGATTAGGATGATTCGAGATGATTCAAGCTTACCCCAAATAAAAATTCATTTCAAATCCCAAAAAATCACAAGCGAAAAGTTCTAGTTTTTTAAAGCAACATACAAATCCCTTGAATCCAAAAGACTTGATGAAATCTATTCGTCCTTGAATTTTATTTTATTTACTTATTTGTAAACTACGCATTTAATAGCTAAATTATCAGTTTTGGTCCATTTTAATACCTAAACTTTCAATTATTTTCAAAATCATACCTAACGTTTAGTTTTTGTTTCATTTTAGTACCTCGCCGTCAAGTTAACGCGTTTAGTACCTAAACTATCAGTTTTGGTCTGTTATAGTATCTAAACTTTCAAAAAAAATTCAAACTTAATGTTAAATTTTGAACAAGGGTACTAAAATGAAACAAAAACTAAACTTTAGTTATGGTTTTGAAAAATTGAAAGTTTAGGTACTAAAACATATCAAAATTGATAGTTTAGGTACTAAACGCGTAATGTACCCTATTTTAATTTGGCTAAAAGTTTTCACAAGCAAAAGTATCCACTCGCAGGTAGGGCTGGCAATGGATCGGAGATGGGTCGGGTGGAGCTTCATCCGCCCCATCACCCGCGGGTCTAAATCTCCATCCACACCATCCATCACCCACCAAAATTTTCATCCATATCCGCTCCATCCATCATCCGCAGGTGGAGCAGGTGATAAATGGATGATACTATTAGGGGTGTAAACGAAAAACTTTAAAAGTAAGCTCGACTCGACTCGAAAACTCACGAGCCTAAAATTTTCAAGCTCAACTCAAAAGATAATATTAAAACTCGACTCAAACTCGAAAAGGCTCGAACTCAAAAAAATTCAAGAGCTCAATTGAAACTTGATTGAAGCTCGATTTTGAGCTCGAACTCACCTCATTGCAAACTGAATCACCTGGTCGTATACATGGATCTGCCTCTATTGAGTCCTTCGACTCGAAATGGTATTTATCAATACTCTTTTTTATATTTTTAGCTCGTGTTCTTTAATGTTAGAGTTGAATCATACGCATTTTCAACTCGACGAAGCAAGTGTAGACTGAACATAATCGATTTCACCATGAATCATTCAGTTGGAAATAATTGTTTGCATATGTGTAATTGGGTTTAGGGTAACAACAATTTAAAAAATTAGTTATTAAAATTTTTATAAATTAATTTCATTAATTTATCAAATTAACTCCTATCACACAATCGGATTTATGGTTTGGGGTTAATGGTTTTAAGTTTAGGTTTAGTGTTTAGGTTTAAGATTTATGGTTTAGGTTTTAGGGTTAGGGTTCATTACAAATACATTAATTAATCGATTTGGTACCGATTTATGAGGTAAGTACAATATAGTATATTGATATTAAATGCTAAAATTAAAATTTGAGGGTAGTTGTATACTTGTATTATAGAATTTTTAATATATTTTTAAAATTTTATAATTATCAATAGTGCATTTTTAATATATTTTTAATAATGTAATTTTAAAAAATCTAAAATTATAATATAACATTTTAGTATCAATAGGGATAAACCAATATTAAAAAATTAGACATATTTTTAATGGGATAATATATATATAAGGATGGATGGATATATTAATGGGTGGATGGATGATGCGGGTGATGGGTCAAAAAAATTTCATCCATATCCGACCCGACCCATCACCCGATCCATCCATCACCCGCCAATCATCCGTTTCACCGCGGGTTATCTTCCATTTATTCGGGGCGGATGGATGGATAATCCACTCACCCGTGGATAATTGCCAGCCCTACTCACAGTCAATAACTAGCTTTAAAAAGGCATCTAGCTGACAACATTGATAGCAGTTATATGAAAAAGAACAAAAGGACATAAGGATCAGGTGATGAACAAAAATACAAAAGCAAAGAACTAGGCATCAAAGGAGAAACGAAACAACACTTCAAATGATAAACAGCAGAGAGATTGTTATATGCATACCATGAGAGGGGAAGTCAAAGAATTGGTAATGATCTATAAACCCCCTACGGCCTATGGGGTCATTACCTGCCGGTAGAGTGGTGACTGGAATTTAAAGTCCACTAGAAAGTAAAGGTTGCAAGTTCCTGGCACTGGTCCGGGATTGAATTCCCAAATGTTTATCAAATGATCAAAAAGGCTACTTTCGGAAGCAGTTGACTGCAAGGATATGATATAGGGTCAGATCATCAATAAGAGTTGAGGGGAAAAAATTAAATTACATGGACAAAATAAAGGTCATCTATGCAGAGGCAAGCCAAGCAATATCCTTTTTGTAAATCACAAGTAGAACATAGTATCCCACAAGATGGTATAGACAGAGAGTAGGATTTTTTAAATTTATCCAGCCATAGACTAGGAAAATATTTATTTATTTTTAAATTTATCCAGCCAAGAGAAAACCCCAGTTAAATATAATCAACATGAAGAAGCATGGCCATTACAATCTTATGTTTAAAACATTAAATACTGCATCTCAATCATGTCCATTTCAACCTAATCCAAAATTTAATATCTGAGCCCCCTTGAACGTATTGTATAGAATCCACATAAGTTGCTGCAAAACATGCTCAGACAGTTAATGTTTTATAGCTTTCAAATCCGTGGTTGGCAACCAATCTACATTTACAACTAATCTATTCCCTAAATATCAGGATAATGAAAGCCTTAACAATTTGCATTGCAAGCAGCACATCCAGGGATAGATAGACAATAACTTACTCAATATAAACAATCTCACTCATCGTTTCATGAAATTGCAAAGCATGCAAAAAGGTATACAATTAAACAGCTTATTGAAATTCAACTTCATTCCCAAAGTAACTGCCAGATAAAAGGTCTTATATTTTGCATAATGCAATATTTCCAAGCATCAAATATGCAAATATCATAATACAACAATCAACAATGAACAGAACTAAGTAGATGCCAGCAACTTGCAGAAAACACACTAAAGCCAAGCAAAGAAAAGCAGCAGTTTAATTATAAGGATAAATGCACTGCTATTACCTTCACAAACTTCGGTCTGCTTAATTCCACATGAGAAACGTAACTCTCGACAAGGAACTTAAAACCAATCTCTAATTCAGCATCAAATGATCCATCTCGATACCGTTTAGTTATATCAGACCGCTGACACCAAGGAACAAATCCATGATACAAATCAACTGCAGCTACCACATCAAACAATTGCTCCGGCGAATACCTAATCATCAACAAAAGCATCTTAACCCAATAAGAAATCTTATACTAATACTAGCTTAAATCTTTTAACAATAATATATCAAGCTACATGAAATAGAAGATTTTGATAGATTTACCCCATGACGATCCTTTCCTCGTAAACTTTTGACAAAACGCCGCCTTCCTCTCCGTCGCCACATCCTAAAAATTGTCTCCTTTGTAGAGTGTAATGATTGAAAAAATTGTTTAATGAAACAATAGAAGCCTCCTTGCGTGAACCGAGTGACGGGTGGACCCAAGGCGTTTGGGAGCCGGAAATGCTAGTAACCCATCGGATTTGATCGAAGTTCCCGGACCGCTGACCGTTCTTGGCGCGCCTAACAAACTGGCTAATCACATTTCTACGGGATATTACCGATCCGACCGCCTTTGAGGTCGGAAAAAACGGCAGCATTGCAATTTTATGATTTGGACACGAATTGAAACTGCTAGGTGTAAAAATTGGGGGAAATGAATGATGAAAAATAATATGGAGAAGACGAGAAAATCTTATTAAAATAATTGGAAAATTGGAAACCCTAGGTTGACAGGGGAAGAGGGAACGATAAGAGACGTCTTGTTTACCATATAAATTTCTTTGTTTGGGACAACGGAGCGAGCTTCTTGGATATTCCTTCTGTTTCAACTTCCAATTTAAGGTTGAGTTCTTGCGTGACTAATTTCTATATCATTATTATCCTTGGTAAATTACAAAAATATCACTTAACTTTCATTATTTTCCTATTTTCCTCACTGAATTTTAAACATTTTTAATTTACTAACTAAACTTTGAAGATTGAATTTTTTAGTCACTGTTATGTTATCTCTCTTACATTGTGATGACATGTATTTTTTTTTTATTTTTTTGAATTTTCATGTATACTTTTATTAATATTTTATTAATACATTTTTTATGGTTTCTTATTAAATTTGATATTCCATCGATCATCTATTGTCGGTCGTCTTCATCTCTGCTTCGTCGCATGTCCATCCAAAATAATCATTTTCTTTTGTACTCAAAGCAAATCTTCAACCCATAACCAATTCCCTAAATCAAGAACAACCCAACTGAACCTCACCACAACCACCACTATTGAATTCTCACTTAAGAACCATTTCATTCCCTCAACAAACACTCATCGTTAAACCAAACATAAACCCTAATTTTATCCCACCACCACTAACCATCACAAAACACTATGCCTAATAAACCTAAATCAAGAACAACCCAACTAAACCTCACCATCACCATTATTGAATCCTCACTCGAAAATCATTTCATTTCCCTTAACAACCCTCACTAACAATCCCTCACTGTTAAACTAAACACAACTCCCCATTTTATCCTACCACCATTAACCACCATAAAAATTAATACCCAGTAAACTAGTACATATTGCTTAAACTATAACTTAAGCCAAATTTTGAACTAAACACAATAATGTATCCATCAACCATAGTTAAAAAGAGTAAAAAAGAGGGAAAGAACGAAAGAAAGAGATGGATACTCTTTTTGATTCAACTTTTAGCCAAGGAATAACTTTCGACTAAAAAAATAGAAATCTCATAAACAACGTAGTGAAATGATGGACGACGATGAAAAAAACTACCAAGCAGTGGATGAAGATGATAAAAAAATAGAGAAAGTCGAGGAATTTTAGCCTAGATCTGTCGATTTTGGTTTTTTTGGTCAAAATGATGTTAGATTCATGCTCAGGAGGCGAAAATGAATATATAAGAGACATTTGGGGTTCAACGGTCACCATCAACAGCGATGGGTGGTGGCCGGTGTGAAAAATGCTATGGTTGTTGGCGGTGGTAACTGGTCTCTTACGAGTAAAGAGAGAGAGAACGTGACGTAGGAAAAGAAAAGAAATAAATGAAAAGAGGTTTCATAAATATTCAAAATAATGTCGTTTTGGTGTATATTTGACTTTTTAAAACGACGTCGTTTTGATGCTAACGCCATGTAATTCCGTTAAATAGCTAATGACAGATTGACCGAAATATGAGCAATTAGAAAGTTTAGTTAGTAAATTAAAAGTTTTTAAAGTTCAATGAACAAAATAAGAAATTAATGAAAGTTCAATGATTATTTATGTAACTTTCCCTTTGGAAAAATAAGGGAAGTTCTACGGTTCAACAACTTAATATAAGATTAAGAGAAGGCGTGATCGAAAATGTTATAAATAAATATAACATTTTCGGTTGGATGCAACCTAAATTGTTAATTTTTTTCTTAATATTTTTTAGATGCAAACCTTCTTCTTAACATTTTAGATTTTAGTTTGGCAACCGAAAATGTTACGTTTTTCATAATATTTACTGAAAATGTTAAAAAGTTAACATTTTAGACTACAGTCAACTGAAAATGTTATGTTTGTTTATAATATTTTCGATCACATCTTTTCTTAACCTTATATTAAATTGTTGTATTGTAGAACTATCGAAAAAATAATCCTCCGCATCGAAAAGAAACTACTGAGATCAACGAACTAAAATAAAAAAAAAATCTCCTCACTTTGTCAGTAAATCAATATATATATATATATATTATATAAAAATATTTATCAAAATTAATTCAATAATTTAAGAAATAATTTAAGTATAAATTTATTAATTTACCATTGAAATATTGATTTCTTTAGTTGATTTTAATTTATATGTTATTTAGTATTTTACTAACTCGTACACTTTTTATAATATTAATTCATTTAAAACAACTATAAAAGTAATGTTTGTTTGAAAATAATATATTTTTTTCAATAATGCTGCCCATTAATATTTTCGTATCTATAATCTCTCTCTCTCTATAAGCTTATTGAATTATTAACATTTATTTAAATTTATTTTTATATATTGTTAATTATTATTTCAAAATATATAACGTTAGATAAATAAATAATCAAGAATACAAAATTTTGCGTTAAGATTTCCATCGCCATTGTATATTTTCTTGAATAAAATAATACAATTATAGCATGATTTTGACTGTTGCAACTTGCGAGATCATATAGAGGGAATAAAAATAAACAATATTTATTCCTAATTTTCTTATCAAAACATCTAAATTGTTTGCATTTTTAACTCTTGATGAAGCACTGACTTGAAGAGTACAAGAGGCTAAAACACTTGACTTAGATCCAGATCTAAAGTGCTGGATCCAAGGGCTTGCCACAAGAGAATGAGAGTCATTTGTTTTCTGAAGTTGAACTCCAGGTCTTTGGAAATCGACCTTCTTCCAGCAGCCATCTCGAAGAACTTTAAACTACAATACAGATTGGGGACAAATCAGCAAATAAGATTTTGCTTAGGGAGCGTAGAGGAAAACCATCAGTACGAAGAAATATCTAATAGCCTTGGACCTGGCCAGAAGAGGTACAATGTTTTTGCCTTGATGACTCAGGCCTTGGTAACTTCTCCTTTTGTGTGTTCGAGCCAAGAAGATTCACAGAGTCATAAAACTGGTTAACAAAGGATGTTTCCATGGATTTAAGGTATAACCTGTGCTTTCCATCAGTCCATTTAGTAAAGGTAGCGGACTCTGTCACCAGAGAATCCTGTTGTATTATCATTAACACACATGATCAGGATTTTTTTAAAGACAAAAAAGCACAGAAATTAAAATATATAATTCTTACGACTCAAATCCAATGATGCATAAATCAACAACCGTAAGGAAGAAGAAGAGGGTGTACCATTCTTGGATTTTGTTCTTGATGAGCAACCCCGGGTGACATCTGAGGATTCAACTCAGGTGCAGACGCGTCTAAACTTGTCCTAGTCTCGGTTCTCCAGATACCCTCCATGCAAACAACACCGTGAAAAACAGATCCCCGAGTGTAAGAAGATTAGAAGAGGAGGGGCTATCGGCAGGTGAAGAGCAAGGTCTTCCCTGAACATGGGCAGGAGAGGCACCTGCCCAGGTCCAAAATTATAAATTTATATATAATTAAAAATAATAAATTATCTATTTGGTCATCCATCTATTATTTTATTTCTATTTGATCATCTAATATTTTTTAAACCATACTTAATATTACATATTGTTTTTTTCTTCTTCTTATATATTGTTTCTTTTTTTCGTTACCCATTATTAAAAAGTTAACGGTGATGCTAATATAATATTTTAAAATTATTTTTTCACTTTCTACTTGAATATTTTTTTGACAAGTTGAAGTAAGTTAAAATCTAACTAGGATCCTCTTAAAATAGAATCGTGATTGTTTTGTGTGAGTTTAATGTTTAATAAATTTGTTTGATATTTTTTATTTAAAATGAATGTATTTGTTAGAAAATTTATTAAACATACTAAAAAATCATTTACAAATAAATTTATTTACTTTTACTTGTTTTTATGATCTATTTTTTTATATTTATTATTATAGATCTAATTTTTTATATTTATCTTATGCCACTAAATTCTCATAAACGAGTTTGGTGAAGCGGTGTGTCGAGGAATGAGGAGACTGACAAAACAAATTTCACAGCTCTCGTCACTTTTATACGTGTCATTGAACCTCCAAATTGCAAAGCATTCCCTAAACTTTGAGAAAGCTCTAGATATTGGTTGGAGTGTTAAAAAATCTCTGGGTCTCGCCCATATATAAGGTCACGACAGATACCAAGTTTAAGGATTACGTGCTGGACAGATACTAGGTAAATTACCATTGTATATGATACAATTATGTAAAGAGATTACATTTTTTACACAAAAGATTACGATTCATACAGAAAATACGCACAACATTACTAATGCGCATCAAAATACTATTAAATTTGTATTTTTACGTAATTATCAATAATTTGTTATCATTAAAATTGTATATTTACGTAATTATCAATAATTTGTTGTCTTTAATTTTATTTTATTTATAAAGTTGATAATATTTAGTCACCACGTAAAAGATTATAATGTTATGATAAAATATTATTCAACTCATCATATTTATTGTTATTATGCAGAAATTTGTATATCTATTAGCTTCCATTTCTTGTGTTTTCCTAGCATGGAAAGCACCATACTAGTTGAATTCGAGATGCTAATCCAAATTTACATGTGTGCAGAAAAAGGTAAACCAACTTGGATAAAGTAATCTTATCTTTTTCTATATTTCTATATTTGTACTTTTAAAACAGTTTGGATCACTTGTATGTTTCTGTTTAAAGTTTGGATTGTCTCTCCTTTTAGCTTGTCAAAGTCCTGTGAGGCGAAATTTGAAAATCCACAGGTCAGTGTGAAATTTATAAGTTTTGTGGTTATCAAAACAGAGAAGGGTATAATTTCATTTACACTGAAGTCATGAATGGTATGGTTGTAAGAGTGTAGGAACATCTCTTGGTCATCAACAGGTTCTGACATTGCATTTGTTGATTTCAAACAACAACACGAGAACAGAAAGTGAGAAACCGTAGAAATTCATCCTTGTAGACATTGCTTCACAGAGATGATAATTCATGTCATTAGAATGTTGCCTTGACTATTTGTTTGATCGATGGGATTTCCCTGGAAGAAGCGTAATGTGACAATTCGGCTACATTCACCGAGAAATGTAAATGCCCACCCCCGCATTCCGTTTAGTTTGGCCCGTACAAAATGGTCGTGCCTTCTTACCAGGCGCACACTAGCGACTACGAAAGCAAAGACCGAGATTCCACCTGATACAAAAAACAGGCCAGCGAATGGGCGAGGGCCTAAGCCTGAGCTTGAGCCTCCGCTTATGGCAGTAGAAGACGAATATATGTTGTAAGAGTTGAGCAAGTATTCTTCCAATCGCGGCATTTCTCCATTTTCTACACTTTGAGGATTGCCTCTGAAAACTCAAATGTCAAAGCAGAACCTTTCGGAAACACCTATAGCAGAGAAAAAATATATATTTTACAAAAGATTTGTCCATGGAAAATCGATAGCTAATATCTTTTAATAAAGAAAAAATATTTAAAAGTGCTAAGAATTACAAAGCCAAAACCACCAAGCTTGAAGGTAGGTCCTGCCATGGTGAACCCTTTACGGTACTTAGCGAGAAAGACTTTTGCATGAGGAACAACAAAGAAAGCTGCTTGAATATCTCCATTTCCAAAAGGAATCCGTGTAGTCATTAATGGAACCGATTTTCTTGATCTTATTTGGCTTAAAACCCGAGACACTGATCAAATACCTAACAATAAAGGAATTCCCATTACATCCAACAGTTGCATTTGTTCTCAAAAGTGTGTCGATGTCTGGAACAGATGGTTGGAGTTGCGAGATTGTCAACATGGAGGTAAGACTTGCAGTGAAACTTGCTGATATGATTAGAATTGCGAACAATCATGGTGCCAGCACAAATCTGGATAAATTGCTCCTTAGTGGTTTCTCCTGCATGTCATCGTTTTTCAAAGTTCTCTTATGGAGATTGATGGAACATATGGAACACTTACATTAATTTCGACTGAGCTTACTTTGTGCAAAGGATAAAATAGTGACAGAGAACCAAAGCTCTTGAGATCAGGGTTCTCTGCATGTTCAATCAGCCAAATTACAAATCCTATGAAAGTGTGCATTGCTATAGTTACCAGCCACATTCTCCTTGAAAATGTCTCCAAGAACATCCACCATTCTATTTACTTATCCGGTTTTACAGTCGCTACCATGATGCTACCATGATAAGTCCGGATTCTAGGTATGGCTGCGAAAACTCTGCATACTGATATCGATATGACATTATTTCTGTATCTCCAACTGCTGCATCTAACCTCTACGTACAAAGTTCACATGAATCTATCTGTGCTTCACCAATCACTGTTGATGATGATAGATAACTATAACATGGTGAAACATTTGACATATAGCAAGAAGAAACCTGACCTTGCTATAGACTACTTCCACCATGTCATCATAAGATCCATAAAACGGAACAAGTTTGTAAGTGATAAGGAAGGCGTTCAAGAATGGCTTCGAACACTTCAACTGAAAATCCTGTGACATATGAGCCATTAACGCTTTGGTCGTAGCTCACTTTAACAAACAGGTAAAAAGCTCCCCTGGCAGGAACCCCAATTTTCAGTACCTTGTCCTTTCCAAAAGAAGTCCATCCCTTTGGAACAGTTTGTAAGCCGCCAGGCCAATAAAAACGGGCCTAATTCATTCATGGTCATGTTTCCAATTCTAGAGTGATCTTCATGTTTATCGGAGGTGCCTGTGAATCCGAAATACGGTGACAAATTGCTACCTCTCTGTAGCTACCCACCACATTAATGATCCCAAAGGTTAGGTGTTGCAATAATGTGTTGCTTCTGAATCTTATTCTTCCGCTTAGACCTCCAAAATTACTTGATAATAGTTGTTTAAATAATTCTTTGGGTGTGGCATTGGCCTGTGTTTTGTGCATGGCTTCTGCAATTGTCCAAGCTGCATCATAAGCTCGCAGGGCATAAATACTTGGCTAGAATACTCTTCTTCTTCTTCGGCATATCTTGTACGGTAGCTCTTTCGGAATTTTGTTTTGAAGCGTCTAAAAGACTCAGTAGAGTCGGCAAAATTGATTCCGCAACCAAGTACACCCTGCATGTTATAAAGAGCTGAAATATCAACAGAATCAAGAAGGCTGGCAATTTCATCACTGACGATCCATACATATCCTTTTTCCATCATTCCTATTTGCTTAGCCTTCTCGAAAAGTGAGATAGCGAACTCTATAGAGGATTGTGCCAGTATGAAGACCCTGTTGCTCTTGCTCCTCCGCTTCCTAAGCCATCGTCTGATGGTATCATCTTGCTCTGAGACAGATGATTGAGGCGGGAAAGCTGTATGATCATCAATCTCTGAACCAAGCCATTTGGACGAAAAAGGGCAACTGATTTTTCAATAATGTTGAAGCTGTCGCAGGTGATGAAGTTAGTGATATTATAGGAATATCCCTGCCGGACTTTCTGATCTCGGATACTATCATTGCTTCTTGCGGAGTAATCGTTCCGATGATTGCTTGCACTTCTTCACTACCGATGAGCTCCAATACTGCAGTAGATGTTCTAGCGTTGAAATTGCGTTAGAGTATTAGATCCAAGTTGAGCAACTCCATGGAAAAATATTGAATAAGAAACCTATGTTGCACTGATACAGATACGGATACGGATACGGATACGGGAACGGGGACTGGGACATAAAACGGTAATTTCTAAAATTACATGGTACAGGGACTGCAAGGGTACGTCATATAAAATAATTTTAAAATTATAAATAGATGTAAAAAATTATAAATAAAGTCAAATATCAAGACTCAACCACAATATTAATTTAGAACAATAAATCCATAAGCAAATCACAATATTAAAATGTCAAATCTCAAGATTCAAACCATAATGTTACTCTAAAATAATAAATCCATAATTAAACCATAATATTAAAGTGTCAAATCTTAAGACTGAACCAAATATTAAGTATAAAAAATATTAAACGCCGTTAACTATTTAATGGTCAAATGACAAAACCACTCAATATAATACTTAAGTGAGAAACTGTAAAACTTAAAGTACAATGATTAAATATGGAGAGAGTAAAATATAATTACCAAATTTATAATTTACCCTTATTTTTTAAATAATTGTTGATGATCTAATATTTATTTCACATCAAATAAATAAACCCTAAAAAGGTTATATATCCACCATCTTCCTCCCATAGTATTTATCTACAAGTCTCCATTTGTTCTCTTTCTTCTTTCCTGCAACTTTCTGGTTTCTCTTTAATTTCCTCATAATCTTGCACAAGTCATCGCCCTTTTAATTAGTCTGTTGCTGTTCTTGGCCATGACTGGCCGTTCAAGTAAGTTC